AAATCCAACGGGTTTTACTCCGAATTTTTTTTTGCGGATAAACTCATGAGTTTGGGTTTGACGAAACCCGCCCCAACCCGACCCATTGTCATCCCTATGAACAATGCACTATGCTTGCGCTATTAAATATATCATTTTTACTCTTAATCCTTGTGTAAATTAAGGCGCTGTGTAGTATCATTTTCATTTTTCATTTTTTATGTGTGAAAATAGAGTGAAAACATGTTTAGTTATGTTTTCATCGATTTTGGTGGCAATAGGAGTTGACAATAGAGTATAGATTAGATGAAAACAGTGAAACAACAATAAGTATCATTGTTGATGTTTTCAAAAACTGTTTCTTGTGGAAAATTATAAGTTGTTTTAATAATTCCATTTAAATGAGTATATATCACTAAATGTCACTGGACCCACTTTCTATATATGAATTCTCTATCAATTTTTGCATAACTCATCACGAAAATCTTATTGTCAATATTATTTTCATATTTTTAATTCATTAATTTTATCATAGCTCGTCATGCCCCACTACTCCTCACATTATTTGCATACTTTATTTTTTTGTCTCAACATTGATACTAAATGAGGCCTAATAAAGTAACTTAATATATAAAATTGTCAACTTTCATGATTTCTAGTATAGATGGCAAATAGATTGGATTCATGGATTGGTGAATTGGATCCATGGATCAAATGGATTGATTCATGAATCTAAATGACATCTAAGTCTTGGATCAAAATGTAATTTTTGAAAAGTTTAGGTACTAAAATGTCATAATAAAATTTTTTAGGTACCTAAACATTATTTTTCAATTATAGTTTTCGTATAAAAATATAAATTTTAGGTACTAACATTTAAAATATAAAATTATAGGTACTAAACCATAATTTTTCATTTGATCCATGAATCCACCAATTCAATTGGATTTGGATAAATTGGATTGGATTTAAATGGATTGGATTAAGTGGATAATTTGGTGGATGGATTGGATTGAATTCATGGATTTGGATCCTAATTGTCACCTCTAATTTCTAGAATTACCAACTAAACATGTTTCTGCCTTGTAATTTTCATTGTGTCATAATTGTATTATTGATACAATAACTACAAAATTGTAGATGTGGTTTGGATGGACTAGTTGTTCATAGGACCGGGAAACAGTACGGTCTGATCCAGACCAAACCATATATGCAGTCTACGGTCCAGACTGAGAGGTTAGAGTATATACCACAGATCAAACCACAGACTATACAGTCCAGACCAGACCACGCTTGTGCGGTTAGGTCCAAATAGACCACAGTGAACAAAAATGAACAATTTAATTAGTCAACCGCACAAAAAAGTGAACCAATAGCCAAGAAACAAATGCTTTATTTCCTTAAAACATAAATTCCTACATGCATGGATAATTTTGACACCATAAATCTCAATAAATAATAAAGATACAAAGTCAAAACATCCCAACTTGCACCATAATGTAATAACATTTACATAATGTCATATGGATACATGATCGTCTCTACTCTCTAGTAAAATGTGGGTGTGAATGAAGGAGGGGACGAGATTCTCAAAATTAAGATTGAGACTTGGGTATAGTTGTGGAAGTTGGGAGAGTGGTCGAGTGAGTTGCTAACACATATTGAGAAGTCTGCTGGGCGCCTGGGCCTACGGTTTGGTCCGGTAAACAGACCGAGAAATCAAAACATCATATAATACAGACCATAGACCAGACCAAACCATACTTAACGGTTTACGGCCCGGACCAAACTGTGCGGTCCGGTTTGGGCCATGGTTTTTCAAACGGTTTGGTATACTTTCCCAGCCTTAGTTGTTCATGTGGCATTTCAGTGGCAATTGGATTGAAGTATCTCGTTTGGTAGAATCATGCAATGTGGTATTTGGCATGTCGTATTTGGAAAAAGCAGAGTGATAAAACAAGCTATTTCGAAATAACATGGTAGATGCGAGTTATTTCAAACAACTCGTTTGAGTTATAAATAACTCATGGTCCAAATAACTAATTTAAGTAAAATGGTGCCAAATATGTTATTTGTATTCAAATAACTCACTCATATACTCCATCCAAACGTCCCTACCATGATTGTCATGCCAGCCGACATGTCACCGGTTTCAACCGTGCCGATCATGAAACTGTCCTGACACCACCAACATGACCGGCATGATCGATCTAAGATTTTTTAAGCAAAATGACGTCGTTTTAGTGAATTTAAATATGAGGACAAGTAATTTTATTTGAGATACCAAATTTTATTTAAATATCAATATGAATTGTACGTAAATTGTCTTTAAATATTATTTATATATAATTAAATTCATTTGACATTAATGATTTTTTATATTTCTACATATTTTATTAACCGGCACAAATAAAGCTATTATACCTAGGGCTGCAAATGAGCCGATCTGTTTGCGAGCGGCTCGGCGTTCGACTCGAGAAAAGCTTGTTCGAAACTCGACTCGTTAATAAACGAGCCGAACACGAGCTCACCTTTGTTCAACTCTTGAAGCTCGCGAGCTAGCTCGACTCGGTGGCTTGTTGAGCTAAACTCGTGAGCTGGCTCGTTTAGAGCTCATGATATGTCTTAACATGTGGCTAGAGAGCCAACTCGATTACCAACTTATGGACGAATCAATCTATATCTTATGATTTTAATTCATATGGTTGTTAAATTATATATCTCACCATATATAAAGTTTAACACGTTGAGTATGTGAGCAAATATATATTATTTTCTACTTTAAAAATAAAATATGCATCATAGATTGCTTCGATACTATGAAATAACATGATTTGGAGTAGTTAAAATTTATTAACTAAATGATATATGGTACCAACAAAGTATAATATGAGATTAGTTAACAAAATAAATCATATGTATCATGATATACAAAATGAAGTACCAAATAAAAGTTAAGATTTTAATACAAAAGCTAGCTCGAGCTCGACTCGGCTCATTTACCGCCCTAAATTTATACCACCGATAAAATCTTTCCACTTGCTAAACAAGTGCAATGGTATAAACCTAACGACCTTGGCCCAATGGTCCCACTAAACGGACCTATAATCACCTATCTGCCAAAAGGCCTGCTTGCTTGAGACCGGATCATAAAAGTCAACACTCGATCATCAAACTTCAAACACGCTGCTTGGCTGCTTCCAATCACACGAATGAATGAACTCAGAAAAAATGGTCGCCGGAGCATCCTGGTTAAGCTTGGCCCTCTTCCTCTTCCTTCTCGCCTGCTACTTCTTCCCCAAACGGCGTCCAAATAGTAGCAAACTCCTCCCGCCGAGCCCGCCTTCCCTCCCGATCATTGGCCACCTCCACTTGCTCTCCAACCACTCCCCTCACCGATCTCTCCACGACCTCGCCGCCAAATACGGCGCCGTCCTACTCCTCCGATTCGGATCCCGCGACGTCCTGGTAATCTCCTCTCCTTCCGCCGTCGAAGAATGCTTCACAGACAACGACGTCGCTTTCGCCAACCGCCCCCACTCGCTAGGCGGGAAGCACCTCAACTACAACTTCTCCACCATCGGAGCTTGCAACTACGGCGACCGCTGGCGCCGCCTCCGCCGCCTCACCACCTTGGAGCTCTTCTCCCCGCCCCGCGTCGCCGCCTTTGCCGCCGCCAGGCGTGTGGAGGCTGGACTGATGTTGAAGGAGTTGTTCCACGAGGCCGAGTCCGGTGACAGACGGGTAAATCTGAGCTCGAAATTCAGAGGGTTCGCCTTCAACGCCATGCTTAGAATGGTCGCCGGGAAGCGGTACTTCGGATACGGGGAATTGGATTCGGTCGGTAAAGAAGCGAAGGAGTTTCAAGACCTAATTGGCGAATTCACCGCGATTCAGGGGAGCTCTGCTCCTAACGATTTCTTTCCCCTGCTTAGATGGCTCGATTTCGGGAGCCTGGAGAAGAGGATGAAATCAATTATGAACAAATTGGATGGATTCCTGCAGCGCCTTGTTGACACCTTTCGAGAAGCTAACCCTAGATCCGCCGAATCCCAATCTTCTCAACCAGACGGTGGCGAAACCCTAATCGACGTAATGCTGTCGTTGCAGGAGACGGAGCCCGAGTTTTACACAGACGAGACGATCAAAGGCGTTATCCTGGTGAGTCAATTTGAATCATATGATGCCGACTAATTGAGTCCTTATTTGAAATTCGATTTACAAGCCCTAAGCTCATTCAGGTAATGCTTATCGCCGGCACGGAGACTTCATCGACGACAATGGAATGGGCGATGGCGTTGCTGCTTAATAATCCCGAAGCGATGAGTAATTTGGCGTCTGAGATTAATCAAAACGTTGGGTTTGGCCGTCTGCTGGAGGAAACAGACTTGCCAAAGCTCAATTACCTGCAGAATGTGATCGACGAGACACTGCGTCTGTACCCGCCGGTGCCGCTGCTGATCCCACACGAATCGTCGGAGGAAACGACTGTGTGTGGGTATAATGTGCCCAAGGGGGTTATGCTGCTTGTGAATGTTTGGTCTTTGCACAGAGACCCAGAGCTGTGGGGTGCAGAGCCGGACAGATTCTTGCCGGAGAGATTTGAAGGAGGCGCGATGATGATGAAGAAGGAGAGCAAGTACAAGCTAGTTCCGTTTGGCAGTGGGAGAAGGGCGTGCCCCGGTGATGTTCTTGGTAAGAAAGTGGTCGGGATGGCTTTGGGTGCTCTGCTTCAGGCGTTTGAGTTGAGTAGAATTGATGAAGGAGTGGAGATTGTAATGGCTGAGAGTACTGGTTTGACCATGGCTAGAACTCACCCGTTGGAGGTTCTGTGTAAACCTCGCAGCACAGCCATGGCTGAACTCTTCTCCAACATGAGAAATGATCATAACGCTAGTGGGTAATCTGATGATAGCATCCTCTACACGATTGAACTGCGAGACAATTTACCGATTACAGATTTCCTGTCAACAATTGGATACTAGAAACATTGAAAAGAAAACGGTTGTTGATCAATCTAATCAATTTTCGCGACCATTCGCAAGCTTTAATCCCCATCTCACATCTTCACAATGCACAACCGGAGGACGGAGCCCTGCTTCACGATCAACTATGACCTTGGCCCTCATGTCATAGCTAGGCGGGAAATGGAAGCACGGCTCCATGGAAACCGCCTGTGTGCAAGCCGTTTCGGGCTGCCTCTTCTGATCACCATCCCTGTCGTTGGGAACGTTCAGAATCCATGGCTTCATTACACCAATCCCTTGAGCAACGTACCCGAAAGTCGACCAAGGACTTGTCACCAAAGCATCACACAAGCTCAACAGATACATATCAGCCCACGCCTTCATGTTGTGCGAGTGGCTCTCCGAATGCTGACTCCCTTCGTGACTCGCCTGGTGGAAGCCTACCACTTGTCCACCATCAACACTCGCTCTCGTCCAGTACATGAACTTCATCTCTTCGTAGAATTCGCGGTACAACGAACCGATCAGGACAGCCTTCATAGTTGTCGAGGTTGTCTTGTTGCTACCACCAGCTGAAGAAGAAGCCGTTGACTCTTGAAGCTGCGGCAGGAGGCTAACCTTCTGTGTGCACTGCAAAATCTGCTTCGTGAAGAGTGGGATCGGGGTTGCTGTAGGGTTGAACACTCGAATCTGAAGTCCGATTCTCTCATCCGCTCTCGCCAAGTACGCGTCGTAGAATCTGGTGATGAGTCCCCAAGCTTGATTCGAAGGGCTGAATAGGTATCTCCCCAGATGATGGAAAACTGTTTCCTTATCAGGAAAAAGTCTCTCCAGTTCTGGCTTGAAACAGGGCATCAGGAAAAGGTAAGGAATGAAGTACTGATCCGATCTGAGAGTGAGCCATGGGACTCCCTGGAGAAACTCCTGGTTCTCGTCCCTGTAGAAAAGCTTGTCGTATTTACTGTACTCAAAGGAAAGAAAGAGATGGAGGAGTGATGGCGGTGGAGCCAAGTGGGTGAATTTGGCGTTTTTCATCAGCAAGCTGCCAAAGCTATGAGCTTCTCGAAACTGAGAACTGTAGAACTCATTCCTGAAGGGGAAGTCAGCTGGTAGAACCCAGGTAGAGTTCTGAAAGGGCTCACAGAAGAGATCGGCCATGTCCGGACCGAAATCGACTAGAAGGACACGGTTTGTGAGCAGAGCATAGAGGAAAGCAGAGGAAAGGCCAAGGATTCTGTTCCCCAACCCATTCAAGTTAACATTGTAGACTAGGTATCTGCAGTAATCGGATTCTGTTACATTGCTCGGAGCATTCTTACCGGAGATGAGTAGTTGTAATGTTCTGTTGAAGGGTTCGGAGAAAGGCTCGCAGTTTTTGTGACGGCGTTCGTGGTCCCGGAGCTTGGAAAGGAAGTAGGAAGATGGAACAGGGGATGGAGATTTCTTGTGGTAGGAGATCTTCTGAGACCTGCTGATGCAGGATTGATCTTGTGGGAGTTCTTGCGCAGGGGAAGAGTTCTTATCATTCTGACTTGGGAAGAATTTCTGGGTGAGATCGGAAAACGGGTTTGGGGAAGTGATGGAGGCTAAGAGCAAGAAGGACATGATGCAGATAGCGATGACAGTCATGGCGGTGAACTTGCAGGAGGTGGGCAGTTCCCTTGATCTCCCCATCTCTTTCTGTTTGATTTTCTTCTGTTTCTGATCATTAGATGATGGGTTGATTGATTGGTGTAGATATTGGTTGCAGAATTTGTAGTGTTATAACATGAAGTGCTCCAGAAGAATTGATCCATGGAGTTGCCTAGTTGTTTTTGGTTTATTAATTTGTTAAGCTGTTTTTGGTTACTTGGGATGTACTAAATAAGGTGGAAAAGGGAATTTACATGTGAAAGTTGACCTTAAGATTATGATCCATTTTTTCCTCTATCATTGTTAGTTTTTTTTTATAGACCATGACTTCAATTATTTTGTTAATACGTAAAGTACTAAAAGATAGTGAGGATGGAGTAGAGATGAGACTTTTTTGAATAATTAGTTTATGAATGAACCTATATAATATTTATTTAGCACGGTGAAAATTTACTTCTTGAATTTTTTTTTTGAGAGTCGAGTATTAATTCCAAATTAGTTGGGCGACGTGCGTTTCGTTGTGGCTACTATATGTTAATTATATCTCATTCATAATGTAAGAATATGCAAATTATCTAAATTTGGATATTCTTTTATGAGGATTAGATTTGATAAGCAAGCCATAAACTTAGTGGCATGCATGTCAATATAAGTTTGTTTGGATGATTATGGTTTCGGATTTTGGAATAAGAAATTTTGATATCAAATTCTGTAATATACAACCTCTCACCATAGTCCACTATCATCTTTCCATACACCCATAAAAAAAAATGAGTATTAGTCATGTGACTAAGAAGGATAATATGATTAGTATTTTTGATAGGAAATAATATGATAATATGATTATTATAGTGGGAAAATTCTTAGCTCCAATCAAAGTTGGAAGCAGAAGTTCCAACCAGTCACATGTCAGTTTGTTATTGGTGAGTTTATTTTTCTTTTTTATATTTTAATTCTTGATTTATTTAGCATAGTTGAGAACATTAAACATTAAGAGAAAAAAAGAGGTGGGAGCTAAGATCCCAACACCAAATTATTAAAGAACTTAGAATGCTTACTTACAAATGCTTGGGAATCCACCTCCCAACCATTACTAATGAGCCCTAGAATCATTATAGAGTCAGCTTTTGAAAGTTTATTACTAAACTGTTTCAATCAGTTGTTACTAATCATCTTCCTCAACTATTACTAATGACGACAAAGGTTATCACCAAATCGCCTTCAATAATTTACTTACCTTGCAACAATCATTACAAATGGGCAACCACAAGTAGGGAAATGGGGTGACTTGGCCATTAAACTAAGCCCCAAGCTCCTAATTACAGATTTCTTCCACTTTCCATACCCATGTTATAGAATACAGAAGGCTACCCAAATATACAAAACCCAAAGAAATCAAAGGGAGGCCTGTTGGCTAGTTCACCATTCAATGAAACCTTATATGAAGAAAAAGAAACAAAGGAGAACAATTGGTTGTGTAAACTCGAAACAAAGCATGACCCAATTGCTTTGGTCCATTCCATGACTAATTACCAGGTCAATTCTTTGTATTAAATGAGCATGACAGTGAGCGTGAATATATGCGAAGTTATATGCAAGTTGAGTGTAGAATGATTTAAAATTTTACGACAAACTATGTTATATCATGATGATAAATTTATATCAACAAAATTGTTGCATCCTAATCAAAATTTCCGATCATTAACAAGCTTTAATCCCCAACTCACATCTTCACAATGCACTACAGGAGGACCAAGTCCGACTTCAGGATCAACTACAACCTTGGCCTTCATATCATAGCTAGGAGGACAATGGAAACAGGGCTCCAAAGAAACCGCCCGACTACAAGCCGGTTCCAAAGGTTTCTCCACACCATTCTTAGGGTTCGGGATGTTCAACATCCACGGCTTCAACCCTCCAATCCCCTGAGCTATGTACCCAAAAGTAGACCAAGGGCTCGTCACCAAAACATCACACAAGCTCAACAGATACATATCGGCCCACGCCTTCATGTTGTGAGAGTTGCTCTGATATCGCTGATTACCTTCATGACTTGCCTGATGGAGACCGACCACTTCACCACCATCTACACCCCCTCTCGTCCAGTACATGTACTTCATCTCCTCGTAGAATTCACGGTACAGCGAACCGATTAGGACAACCTTCGTCGTCTTTGGCGGCGTAGTACTATTGTTGCTGTCCATGGCTGAAGTTGAAGAAGAAGATGTTGTTGACGCTTGAAGTTTCGGCAGGAGGTTTTCCTTCTGTGTGCATTTCCAAATATGGTTCATCACGAGCGGAATCGGGGTCGATGTCGTGTTAAAGACCCGGATCTGAAGCCCGATTCGCTCTTCTGCTCTCGCCAGGTAAGCGTCGTAGAATCTGGTGATGAGCCCCCAGGCTTGATTGGAAGGGCTGAAGAGATATCTGTTGAAGATACTGCTGCTGTTGAAGAGCCTGAATCCGAATCCGAGCAGGAGAAGGAAAAGGCTGCGTCTGTCTTTCATTTAAGTTGATGCTGTGTCGTTTTGGTTTGTTTCAGTTTGGTCCTTGTTATTTTTGTCTTGGTTGCAATGGTCAGTTAGCCGTTGCAGGGTTAGTTTCAGATTGGTTGAGGATCTTAGCTACTCCTCAGGGATTGGGATTGATAGCCGTTTGGGGTCCTGAGTTTAGGGGCTTTCTGTTAAGGGTCTGTGTATAAAGATCAGTCTCAATCAATGAATAAAGCTGTCAGTTTGCAGCAATCTTGCTTTCATAGTGGTATCAGAGCAATTGCAGGCTGTAACCAGAGCGTGTTCCATTGAGAGTGTGAGCTGTGTGAAATTGCGAAAGGTTCTGGGTTTGGGAAACACGAGTGAAGGTGAGGATCCCAACTATTGGTGAGTGAAATCCAGAGAGAGCAGACAATGAGTGGTGATAATAGCTTTGCTCAAGTGGGAATTCCCAAATTCGATGGGGATTATGATCACTGGAGCATGCTGATGGAAAATCTGCTTAGATCCAAAGAACTATGGATTGTGGTAGAGACTGGGTTCAAAGAAGCTGATGCAGACTCTGAGCTGACTGAAGCAGAGACAAAGACGCTGGAGGCAACCAGGCTAAAGGATTTGAATGCTAAGAACTTCCTGTTTAGCTCTATTGATAAGAGCATTCTCAAGACAATCACTCAGAAGGCAACCTCCAAGCAGCTGTGGGACTCTATGAAGATTCGATATCAGGGCAATGAGCGTGTTCAAAAGGCCAATCTGCAAGGGCTTCGAAGAAACTTTGAGCTGCTTCAAATGAAGGATGGGGAAACAGTGACCAGCTATTTCAGCAGGGTAATGGTCATTGCAAATTCAATGAGGAACTGTGGCGAGGACATGAATGACTCCAAGATTGTTGAGAAGGTGCTCAGGACTTTAACTGAAAAGTTTAATTACATTGTGTGTTCAATTGAAGAATCCAAGGATATTGCTGAGATGTCTGTGGATGCTCTGCAAAGCTCTCTGCTTGTGCATGAGCAAAAGTTTGCAAAATCCTCATATGGGGAAGAGCAAGTCCTGCAAGTGTTTGGAAATGGTAGAGGAAGAGGAGGAAGAACTGGGTATCAAGGCAGAGGTGGAAGAGGACGTGGAAGGATCTGGAATAGGGATCAGATTGAGTGTTTTAAATGTCACAGAATGGGGCATTTCAGTCGAGAATGCCCTGAATGGCAAGCTCATTACTCGAGCTGGGGGCCAAATGACATCAAAGATGATGTTCTGTTGATGGCTTACTCAGAGGAAATGATTCCAAATGGAGCAATGAAGAAGAATGATGACTGGTGGTTTCTTGACAGTGGGTGCAGCAACCACATGTGTGGAAATAAGAGCTGGTTCTCTAAGCTTGATACCAGTTTTAAAAGTGATGTCAAACTAGGCAATGGCAGCAAACTGGAAGTGCAAGGGAAAGGATCTGTAAAGATGATTGTTGGAAAAGTCCCTCTGGTGTTCCAGAATGTCTTCTATGTACCCAGTTTGAAGTCAAATCTCTTGAGTGTGGGTCAGATGCAGGAGAAGAATCTGGAATTTATAATCAAGAATGGAAGTTGCAGAATCTACCATGAAAAACATGGTCTGCTGCTGGAAACATCCATGAAATCTAACAGGATGTTTGTTCTGCAAGCCAGACATCATGTGGAAGAAGGAAATCAGTGCTTTCAAACTAATGCTGAGCAGCATGACACACTGCACCTGTGGCACAGACGTTTTGGTCATCTCAGCAAAGTCAATCTGATGAAGTTGCAACAAGAAAGACTGGTACAAGGGCTTCCAAAGCTTACTGGAGATATTGGGGTATGTGGAACCTGTCTGATTGGGAAGCAGTGCAGAGCTAAGTTTCCAAAGAAGGGAGCTTGGAGGGCCATAAAACCACTTCAACTTCTGCATGCTGACTTATGTGGTCCAATTACTCCTGCATCCAATGGAGGAAAAAGGTATATCATGACTCTTACTGATGATTTCAGTAGAAAGCTGTGGATTTATTTCCTGTCTGCAAAATCAGAAGCCTTAGCCTGTTTCAGAAGATTTAAAGCACAAGTAGAGAATGAAATTGGGAAGAAAATTGCTTGTCTCAGAACTGATAGAGGAGGAGAGTTTCTGCTGCATGAGTTTCGAGATTTGTGTGAAGAAGCAGGCATCAGAAGACAGTTGACAGCTGCTCTTACTCCTCAGCAAAATGGTGTTGCTGAAAGAAAGAACAGGACTGTCATGAACATGGTTAGATGTTCACTGGAGGATACCAAGGTCCCCTCAACCTTCTGGCCTGAGGCTGTGGATTGGGCTACTCACATTCTGAATAGAAGTCCAACTGTAGCCAATGATGGTAAAACACCTCAAGAAAGATGGACTAGTAAACCTCCCTCAGTGAATCATTTAAAGGTTTTTGGCTGTGTAGCCTATGTTCATGTGCATGACAGTTTGAGGAAGAAGCTGGATGATAAAAGTGTTAAGTGTAACTTTCTGGGAATGTCTAAAGAGTCCAAGGCCTACAAGCTGTTCAATCCAGAATCAAAGAAGATCATCATTAGCCGAGATGTGGTCTTTAATGAAGAGGAAGGATGGATTTGGAAAGCTGAGGAAGAACCTGTTCTGACAAAGCTGGCTTGGGAAGGAGGAGAAGAAGACTGGCTTGATTCAGAAGAGGGAGAAGAAGGGGAGGATAATAATGATTCTGGTGGTGCTGGTAACAATGGAGAAGAAGGAATCACAGCTGAGGGAGGAACTGAAACCACTTCAGTTCACACAAGTTCTGAAACATCAGAACCAGTCACACCAGCTGCAGATCCAGTAGAAGAAGAAGAGGAAGAAAATGTGACTGATGCTTTGGGGCTTCCAATTAGCAGTGAACTAGGGCCTAGAACTCGCAAGTTTCCAAGGCATTTTGATGGATTTGATTGTGAAGGAATGCCTAATCTGGCACTTGCTGAGACTGACTGGTGGGCTCTAGCTGCTGTCAGTGGAGATCCAACCACATTTGAAGAAGCTGTACTTGAAGAAAAGTGGAGGAAGGCTATGGAACATGAGATTGATGCTATCAAAAGAAATCTCACGTGGACTCTAGTTGCAAGGCCAGCAGGAGTAACTCCAATTGGAGTAAAATGGGTGTACAGAACCAAGCTGAAGGAAGATGGAACCATAGACAAATTTAAAGCCAGATTGGTGGCAAAGGGCTATGCTCAACGACATGGAGTAGATTATGATGAGGTATTTGCACCAGTGGCAAGATGGGACACCATCAGAACATTCTTAGCTCTTGCTGCACAATTCAATCTGACTGTGTATCAGTTAGATGTCAAGAGTGCTTTTCTGCAGGGAGAACTCACAGAGGAAGTCTATATTGAACAGCCACAAGGTTTTGAGATCCCTGGAGAAGAAGGAAAGGTGTATAAACTGCAGAAGGCTCTGTATGGCCTAAAACAGGCCCCTCGAGCATGGTTCAGTAGGGTTGAGACTCACTTTCTCAACACTGGTTTTGAGAGATGTGAGTTTGAACACACTTTGTTTGTGAAGAAGAGGAAAGAGGAAGTGCTAATGGTCAGTGTGTATGTTGATGATCTGATCTATGCCAGCACCAGCTCTGAGTTATTGAGAGAATTTAAGGAGTCCATGGAAGCAGAATTTGAAATGACAGACCTGGGAAGGATGAAGTTCTTTCTGGGAGTGGAGGTAACTCAGTCTGATTCTGGTATATTCATTTCTCAGCAAAAATATATCAGTGAACTGTTGGAAAGGTTTCATTTAGCAGAATGCAACTATGTGCATAATCCTATAGCCCCAGGAACTAAACTCTCAAAAGCTGGAGATGGAGTTATGGTCAGTGCAACTGAATACAAACAGGTTATTGGAAGCCTGTTATATGCAACAGCTACAAGACCAGACATCATGTATGCAGTCTGTATGCTAAGCAGGTACATGGATAAACCCACAAGACAACATATGCTGGCGGCAAAAAGAGTGCTAAGGTACTTGAAGGGCACATTGAAGTTTGGAATTCTGTACAGAAGACAAGAAGAAGGAGATTGGTTGCTGGGGTACACTGACAGTGACTATGCTGGTGATCTAGATGACAGAAAATCCACCAGTGGCTACACTTTCTTTCTTGCAGGGGGAGCAATCTCTTGGAGCTCGAAGAAGCAGCCTGTTGTCACTCTTTCAACAACCGAGGCAGAGTTTATAGCTGCAGCCTTCTGTGCAGCTCAATGTGTGTGGCTCAAGAGGATCATAACTCAGATGGGTTGGCTGGAATGTGTAGCAGGAACAACCAAAATCATGTGCGACAATAGCTCAGCTATTAAGCTTTCTAAGAATCCTGTTATGCATGGTCGAAGCAAGCACATAGATGTGCGTTTCCACTTCTTAAGGGAGCTGACCAGGAATGGAGTGATTGAGTTGGAACATTGCAGAACTGGTGAACAAGTTGCAGACATAATGACAAAGCCATTGAAGTTGGAAACCTTTCAGTTGCTGCGCAGCAGGCTTGGACTGGTCGATGGCTGATCAGATATGCTTCAGTTCAGGGGAGGCTGTTGAAGATACTGCTGCTGTTGAAGAGCCTGAATCCGAATCCGAGCAGGAGAAGGAAAAGGCTGCGTCTGTCTTTCATTTAAGTTGATGCTGTGTCGTTTTGGTTTGTTTCAGTTTGGTCCTTGTTATTTTTGTCTTGGTTGCAATGGTCAGTTAGCCGTTGCAGGGTTAGTTTCAGATTGGTTGAGGATCTTAGCTACTCCTCAGGGATTGGGATTGATAGCCGTTTGGGGTCCTGAGTTTAGGGGCTTTCTGTTAAGGGTCTGTGTATAAAGATCAGTCTCAATCCATGAATAAAGCTGTCAGTTTGCAGCAATCTTGCTTTCAATATCTCCCCAGGTGGTGGAAAACTGTTTCCCTGTCAGGAAACATTTTCCCTAAATCCGGCCTGAAACAGGGCATCAAGAAAAGGTAAGGGATGAAATACTCATCCGTTCTCAGAGTGAGCCAAGGGACTCCACGGAGGAACTGCTGATTCTCGTCCTTGTAGAAAAGTTTGTCGTGATTGTTGTAGTCGAAGGAGAGATAGAGATGAAGAATTGACGGTGGCAGAGCTAATTGGGCGACATTGCGGTTTCTCATCAGGAAGTTGCCGAAGCTATGAGCTTGCCGAAACCGAGAATCGTAGAACTCATTCCTGAAAGGGAAATCATCAGGCAGAGACCAGGTGGAATTCGGAAAGGGCTCGCAGAAGAGATCGGCCATGTCGGGGCCGAAATCGACTAGAACGACACGATTCGTGAGCAGAGCGTAGAGGAAAACAGAGGAAAGGCCGAGCATTCTGTTTCCCAAGCCATGTAAGTTAACTGTGTAGACTATGTATCTGCAATACTCGGATTCTGTTTCGTTGCTCAGAGAATTCTTCCCGGAGATCAGTAGTTGTAATGTTCTGTTGAAGTGTTCGGAGAAAGGCTCGCAATTTTTGTGACGGCGTTCGTAGTCGCGGAGCTTGGAGATGAAGTAAGGAGATGGAACAAGGGAGGTCAATTTTTTGTGGTAGGAGGTCTTCTGAGACCTGCTTATGCAGGATTTATCTTCAGCGAATTCTTCGGCCGGGGAAGATTTCTTGTCATTCTGAACTGGAAAGAATTTCTGGGTGAGATTAGCAAATGGGTTGGGGGAAACGGTGGTGGAGGCTATGATTAAGATGGAGATGGTAGAGAGAGCACTGACCGCCATTGCTGTGAGCTTGTAACCCATTTTCGGATGAGTTGAAATTGGAATCTCTTGATGAGTAAAAGATGGGTTCAGAATTTGAGACGAAGTGTAGATATTCGTGTCAGAATTCTTAGTGTTACATGAAGTGCTCCTGAATCCATGGAGTTGCCAAGTTGTTTTGGTTTATTAATTTTTGGAGCTTTACTTGGGATATACTGAAGCATAGAATTTACACGTGAAAGCTGACCCTGATATTATTTTCATTGTTAGTCTTTTATGCACATTGTGACATTAATTGTTTTGTTAATACCGGAGAGATAGGTTGGTCGTCGGCAACGACTTCTTAGTTTTCGATTTTATTTCTCTCAGGATCGAGTTCGATTCCGGCGAATCTTATGGAGGAGGGATCGTTGGGGGGAGCGGATCGTGTCAGTAACTGATGGGTCAGTAACCCATCAGTAACCCATTCTCTGATCTCCACGTGTCAGTCCATTTTTTTATTTAAATTAAATGCGGAAGGGCAGTAAGGTAAAATGCACTTATCCCCTATTTATTGCTGACGCGCTGACTTTTGACCGACCACATCAGGACCTCCTTCTCTCTCATCGAAAAACCTTTAATTTTCCTTCTCTTATTCTTTAACGGACGATTTCTCACTCGTTTTAAGTTGAAATTTAATTTTTTTTTCACAGTTAGATCAGATTAATTATGCTCTTCAAAATGATATCCACTTTGATATTTTTTTGACACAAAATTTTTTTCCAGTTATTACCAGTCTATACCATATGGTATAGTGTGGTAATATCAATATATATTTCGTTACCACCCAATACCATATGGTATAGTGTGGTAATATCAATATATATTTCGTTACCACCCAATACCATATGGTATAGTGTGGTAATATCACACAATACCATATGGTATAGAGTGGTAATATCAATATATATTTCGTTATCACGCAATACCATACATTACCATAGGGTATAGTGTGGTAATATCAATATATATTTCGTTACCACCCAATACCATATGGTATAGTGTGGTAATATCAATATATATTTCGTTACCACCCAATACCATATGGTATAGTGTGGTAATATCAATATATATTTCGTTACCACACAATACCATATGGTATAGTATGGTAATATCACACAATACCATATGGTATAGAGTGGTAATATCAATATATATTCCGTTACCACGCAATACCATACATTACCATAGGGTATAGTGTGGTAATATCAATATATATTTCGTTACCACCCAATACCATATGGTATAGTGTGGTAATATCAATATATATTTCGTTACCACACAATACCATATGGTATAGTATGGTAATATCACACAATACCATATGGTATAGAGTGGTAATATCAATATATATTCCGTTACCACGCAATACCATACATTACCATAGGGTATAGTGTGGTAATATCAATATATATTTCATTACCACCCAATACCATATGGTATAGAGTCATAAATATCAATATATATTATCTAAAAGGAAAAAAACAGAAAGAGGGAGAGGGAAAAAAACTCTTCTTCTATTTCCTCTCATTTCCTCCGCAATCAAGAACACCAAACGCCAAAAAAATGAGAAAGACCGACATTGAGGCCAACGAGTTGATGAAGAGACAAAAAAACGCAATGAAAGAGGGTGGCTGCAAATTTTCTTCGTCAATTACTGGAGAGAAAAAAACGAAAAAAAGAAGAGAAGGAAGCAGATCTAGATATGGAGAAAGAGATTGGAGAGGAAAAAAAAGGAACAGAGAAAGAGAAATGATAGACTGAGAGAGAAAAAGGAAGGGAGAAAGAGAAAAGAGAGTTGCAGAGAAATGATTCTCTCTCCTCCTTTGAAAAAGCAGCCATAAAAAGTGGTCTCCTTTTTTTGAAAAAGCGGCCATTAAACTTGGAATATAAAAAAAATTCATAAACGGACAAAAATGCCCTTCTGGACCCCGCATTCAGCCCAGCCGCATGATTGATTCACCCCTAGATCTACGGTCCTAAGGTGGTTACTCACTGGTGAGTAACAAAGGGTTACTCACCCTATCTCAAGCCATCGTTGGGGCAGTGGCGCGCCCCGCCGACGGATGAGTTGGTTGTCGAACGTGTTGAAGGCCCAATTCGTTGGGCTGTATCCTGTAAATACGAGATTGGGCAACACATAAATGGGCTTGCAAGTTGTATTAGAGTAGGTATGGGCAATTCCAGATCCCGTACAATTTTGTTGATGTTGTGGCTGTTAGGGGTGAACAAACACACCCGCAAACAGACCCACCCGTCCAACTCGAACCAACCCAACCGTATTTATCGTTAAAATGAAGGTTTTGGGTTGAGAGAGAGTTTTCTTTTGTACAACCCGCCTCTTTTGGGTTGGGTTTGGATTTTGGATTACACAACCCGTAGAACCCGACCCAACCCGTGTTCCAACTATTAGTATGAGTTCGGATCTAAAAAATATTTATGTAGTATATAGTCATATACTTATGAGAAAATTAAGATATTTCGCCATGTTTTTCTCTCATGATCTCCCTAATCTAATGCATTCTTCGACTTAAAGTTTAGACATAAATTGAATATAGTAATGATTCACGTAATCCTTTTTCTTGTGTATAATTTTAATAGAATAACATATGATGGATGCGTTTGTTTATAACATTTTTAGCCTATTTCAACAAATATCGTGAAAAAAACAAGACATATGTTGAAATAAATAACATTTTACTAAAATTCAAACAACATTTGTAAATTTTCATACCTTTCACCTTGGTTCATTCGTTTGAAATTTTAATTAGTTATAAAATATTTTTATGATGTAGAATAATTATATATTTTATGTTGGGTTGGCTTTTTTCTTAAAAATATCGCCAACCCGACCCAACCCAATTAGAAACAAACCGTAGGGTTTAAATTTTTTTGAGTGGGTTTGAGTTTGATATTTCCCAAACCGTAGTACATGGGTCGAGTGATTAAAATGACTAAACCCGAACCACCCGACCCATGTACACCCCTAGTGGCTGTAATACGGCTGTGACAATTGAGGTACAATCATACATAATGAAACATGTTTGGTTGGATTTTCTGAGGAATTATGAAATTGGCATTTTTTTTTTGTTTAATTACTTCATTAAGCTCGGTTTTGTATTAATAGCGAGAGTAAGACAAAAGTAGGAAAATAATGGGAGGAATAGTGTGACATAGGAGTTATGACTTATGAGATGTGAAAAAAATATTGGCAATAAGGTTTTCTAGTATGCATTATGCAAAAATGGAGAGGAAAAAATACAGTATAACCTCTATAAATTAATATAGTCGGGACCGTAAAAATTATTAATTTATAGTAGTTATTAATTAATCAATAAATTAAAAATTATTAATTTCTTTCAATTATTTCAAGTTTATACGATAACTTATCGCATTTTACGTATTCATTGTACTAAAATTTAATAGAAGAAAATTATATATTATTCCAAGATAAATGTATTCAATGTATTCTTGTAGTGGTCTAGATTCATGTTTAAAATTACTTGTACTCTTACATTCATGCATTCTTTTGTTTATTTCAGGAACATCATATGTGGCTGTTCATCTATTCTTTAAATATTTTGTGGATATTTATGAGGCCATAACAACTTTGGAGGAGGATGCAAATGATGAGATACAAGACATTAAGAAAGCGAAGGTAGCAAAACATTGGTTTTAGGCAGATAATGAGGAGAATATAAAGATGAATTGTTTGATCTACATGACATGTGTGTTAGATCCTAGGCGTAAATGTGGTATGTTTCTTCTTTCTCATTTTGCTTTACTTTTCATATTTAATAGTTTACCTATCTCAGTTTGTGAATGACAATTTCCCAACTGATAACTGTGCGGTCGTGCCTTCAATGGTTGTTCTCGATAATTGGCTAACTAAAAAATCAAACTGATAGGCTGGACTTGGGAGCATGGTAAAGGAAACCGGATCATACCAGCCGGTTCAACCGAAAAAATTGGGAACCGGCCCAGTGGCGAAACGGTACCCATCCAGCATCTGTTTTACCGCGCCGGCAGGTTTTTACGGCATAATCGGCACTATCCGATTTACCGCCCGGTATAATTCAGACCGGCGGTAGACTAATTCAAAGTAATGTCGCGTCGCCGTCGTTCCATTGACAAAATTGAGGAGGAAAAAACGAGTGTCACTAAGTTACTAACCCTAATCGAATCTTCCCCATCGTTTCACTTCACCTGCCGCTCCTCCTCTTCTCCACAACGCCGCCTGCTCGAGAAGAAGAGAACGCCGCCGCCGATCGATCGTTCTCCAGCCCAGCCTTGCCTCTGAAGATTGGTGAGAAGACCAGAAGACGAGCGTGCCGCTGCTCTGAGTCACCCTCTTCTTCAGTACTTTGTCGTCTCTGTACGCCGGCGCCGTGGGGGAAGTACGCGGCGGAGATAAGCGATTGTACTAGGCGCGGCGTGAGGGTGTTGCTGGGGACATTCGACACCCCGGAGGCGGCGGCGTTGGCGTACGACCAGGCGGCGCTGTCCCTCCAAGGCTCCAAAGAGGCCCTCAACTTCCCCGTCGATGACGTCAACAGGTCCCTCCGGGAGATAGGTTGCAGCGTATTCGAGGAGCACTCGTCCCCTGCCGAGGCGCTCAGCCGGCAGAGCAAGGTGGCGACACTTGAAAAGGGTCGTCATAATCATAAGGAGGAGGAAGAAGAAGAAGTGGTGGAGTTCGAAGATCTTGGAGCTGCTTTCTTGGAACAATTGTTGTGCGAGAGCTCTTGCAGTGGGGCAACTGGTTAACTAATTAAGACAACCGATCAATCAAGCAAACTAATTAAGGCCATGAAATTGATAAGCTAAGCATCACTATTAGTGATATTGTTTTGTGTGTTTCTGTTATTTTTTTTTTATAAGGGTGATAATATATTAAAGAAAAGCAAAGAGGGTTAAAACCCAAAATGAGTACAGAGGGGAAGAGGAATGGGAGCACAAGCAGTGCAGCCCAAAGACCCCAACTTCAAACACAGAAACGCAAAACAAGAGACAGAATAAAAAACGAGACCCCAAGCCAAGGGGAGGATCTCAGCACCACCAAGACAGGGCTGGAAAACAGGACGACAGTAGGGAACGAAAATATACAACAGACCAGGAAGGGTCTCAGAGGCAGAACAGCAGCAGCGTAGCAGCATCTGCCCGACTCGCTTCAGCAGCGACACGGAACGAGAAACAGGAAACCATCCAGCAGCCACATCAGCAGAGACAACAAAACCCAAAGAGAGAAGAGGAGGGCGCGAGACTCAGATCCCACCCAAATTATCCCTGTACCATCTGGCGCAATCCCTGGCGTCCGCTTTCCCAAGAGCAGTGATCCATTCGATCGCGTTCTTAGCAGCTTTTCTAGCCACCAGCCCAGCAAAAGAGACTTTATCCTCGAAGGCACGCTGATTCCGTTCGAGCCAAACGTTCCACCACACAGCGTGAAGGATATCCTCCTTAAACCACGAGCTGACATCGTCAAGAGTCCCTGAACCCAATCCTTGATAAGAACCGCAAAATCTCTGGTCTGGATCTGACTAAACCAGTTGTTCCCATAGATGCAATTCCACACAGCCAAAACAAACTCACACTCGATGAACAAGTGTTGCACGGTTTCTTCTTTGCGCTGACAGAGGTAGCACCTGTTAGCCAGGCTCCATCCCTTCTTCATCAAATTGTCGATAGTGTGTATCCTGTTAAGGTACACCAGCCACATGAAGAAGCACAGCTTGCTAGGCACCAACGACTTCCAGATCTTCTTAGCAGGAAAGTTTGAGATTCCGTGGAACTTCTCCAACGCCAAGACCTCATACATGGATCTGACAGTGAACCTGCCAATGGTACCTGGAATCCAAACCACTCTACAGGGACTATATAAATCTTTCAAACCGTTAGTAGACTCAAGCAAATTAAATAAGTTTAAACGCTCCCTCTCAGCCCCACCCCTTAAAGAAAATTTGAGATTAACATTCCAACTCACCCTCTCACCGTTAAGGCAAACAGAATCGGAGAGCAAAGCATTAGAGTCCGTGGCAGCAGAGGCGACGCGAGGAAAAGCTTTGGATAACAGTCTTCCAGGGACCCAAGGATCATGCCAGAACGAAACTTGAGACCCGTTCCCAGGCTCCAAATGAATAAACCTCCAGAAATTCTCATATTGTTTCGAGATACCAGCCCAAACAGACTGAGAGGAGCCCCTAAATGCCTTATCAGTATGCCAAGAAGAGGACGGATTTGGATATTTCAGACTTATCAACTCCCGCCACCAGCTCTTCCTTTCGACAGCGAACTTCCATAACCACTTCGACAGCATCGCAATGTTAAAAGCCTTCAAGTCATGGATGCCGAGCCCCCCATTCTCCTTTCCGGTCTTGCACATGTTCCAATCAACCAAGGGTATTCTATTATTCACTCCCGCCCCATTCCACAGAAACTCCCTTTGAATTCTTTCCATGACATTGATGACAGAGACCGGAGCCTTGAAAAGAGAAAACAGATAAGTAGACATACTAGAGAGCACCGCTTTCACAAGAACAAGTCTTGCCCCATAGGAAAGATGACGGCTACCCCATTTGCTGAGTTTGTGTTGCATCTTTCCCACGACCAAATCCCAAATAGCAGTGTCATTAGCCTTGGCACCGAGGGGAAAACCGAGGTATAAAGGGGGATTTCTGCTCCACTGGCAACCAAAGATGGCAGCAAAAAAGCTTGGATCCGCCACATCACCGACTGTATACATAACTGACTTATCAAGATTGATTCTGAGACCGGTAACGGACTGAAAACAAGTAATAACCGCCAACACATGAAGCACCTGATCATAATCAGCATCGCAGAAGATGAGAGTGTCGTCAGCAAACAGCAGATGAGTGACTTCTCCCATTTTCAACTCTTCATTCATGAAAAAACCTTCAAACTTGCCTTCATCCCGCACCGAATTCAACATCCAGGACAGCAAATCCATGACAAGAACGAAGAGACCAGGAGAGAGAGGATCCCCCTGACGGAGACCTTTGGAAGCCGCAAAGAAACCATGAGCTTCCCCGTTGACAATCACCGAGATAAATGGAGAACACATAGACCCTTTAACCCACTTATTTAAGTGCTCGATCGGGATCTCCACTTGTGTTCTTGCTCAATAGATATTGGTACGTTTTGTACTCGATCCTAAACATGCATTTGAATGATTATGTAGTTTATTCAGTAATGTTGTAGTTTGTTGATTGTTATGTCACCTATTCCTATTTAGTTTATTCGGGTTTGTTATCCTGTATATTCCGGTTTTATTTCGGCATTACTCCGAACGGTATACTGAATCTGCCGGTACGGTTTTTTAACAAAAAAAATAATTTTTAATTACAAAACGGTATTTTCCCGGTACACAACGGTTGAACCACGGTTGTACCACAAAATATCCTACCACTGACGAGTCCGATATGACTTCCGGTACGGTTTCCTTTACCATGCTTGAGAGTTGAGACTGAGGTTTGTGAGAAGTGAGGGGAGATTGGTGGTTTGGGCTTGTGTGACTGAAGTTGAGTCACATAAGTGATCTGATTTAAACTTGGTGCGACACTGTTTTTAACCTCCCCACAACTGGAGGCCAAAAAAATAAGACGGTAGTAGAAACAGTTCTCGTTTTAATCAATCCATTTTATACGATTTGATTTCTGGTTAAACCGAAACTCATAAACCGAATCCCACCCTTAGTAAAAAAAAAAAAAAAATCACATCTCCCCAGGCAACCACAACAACACAATAGTGACCAGCCTAAAGAGCAGTACCAGCCTAGTAAGTGATTAATTCAAAGTAATTTGCTAACTTAATTGACAGGATCATTTTTAAAGAGTATAAAGTCCATTCAACAAAACTGAAGTCCATCTACCCTACAAAAAAGTGATACTATCTGCCAATCGAGAAACTCAAATCAAAACACCTTATCCCAATCTCTCAATTTGCCGGCCATTGACAAGCTTCAATCCCCAGCTTACATCTTCACAGTGCACCACAGGAGGGCCCGTCCCTACTTCACCATCAACCACAACCTTCTTCTTCATGTCATAACTTGGAGGATAGTGAAAACACGGCTCCATTGAAACCGCCCGTCTACAAGCCCGCTCCGGCAGCCTATCCCCACTGTAATTGGTATTCGGAACGTTCAGAATCCATGGCTTCACCCTTCCAATCGCTTGAGCAACGTACCCGAAAGTCGACCAACGACTCGTCACCAAAACATCACACAAGCTCAACAGGTATATATCAGCCAATGCCTTCATGTTGTGCGAGTTGCTCTCCGAATTCTGGCTCTCTTCATGACTCGCCTGGTGAACACCAACCGATTCTCCACCACCATCCACGCTCGCTCTCGTCCAGTACTCGTACTTCATCTCCTCGTAGAATTCGCGGTACAACGAACCTATCAGGACAGCCTTTGTCTTCGTCGACGATGTATTGTTGGTGACCTTGACAGAGGAAAAGGAGGAATTTGTAGACACTTGAAGCTGAGGCAGGATCCCTTCACTCTGTGTGCACTTCAAAAGCTGCTTCGCCACGAGTGGAATCGGACTTGCTTTGGTGTTGAAAACGCGAACCTGAAGCCCGATTCTCTCGTCAGCTCTCGCCAGGTACGCGTCGTAGAATCGGGTGATGAGCCCCCAAGCTTGATTCGAAGGGTTGAAGAGGTAATTCCCCAAGTGGTGGAAAACTGTCTCCTTGTCAGGAAAAAGCCTCTCCAACTCTGCCCTGAAACGAGGCATCAGGAAAAGGTAAGGAACGAAATACTGATCCGATCTCAGGGTGAGCCATGGGATTGAATGAGCTCAAAGGCTTGAGTTTACTCTTATTGACTTCTCTGTTTATATAGTACAGTTGAGCAGAGTGTACAGCGGAGGAGAAGCAACAGAAAGAGTGAAAGGAGGAGAGAATAATGGAGTACAACGTTCCACAAAGTAACAACTAACAAGAAGGCAACAGTAAGCCTAAAGTACAGGAACAGATCAACAGATCACATTATCACCCCCCCGCAAGTTGAGGCTCAGAGAGTCGAAACTTGGAGCAGAACTTGATGAACGGCTGCCGGGACAATGGTTTGGTGAGCACATCCGCAATTTGATCCGGAGCCGGGAGATAATGAACCCGGAGCTGCCCTTTGCTCACCTGATCGCGCACGAAATGGAATTCAATCTCCATGTGCTTCGATCTGTTGTGAAACACCGGATTATGAGCAAGGAATGTAGCACCAAGATTGTCACACCAAAGAACCGGGGCAGAGGGTAGCTGCTGGCCCAATTCGACGAGTAAGGACCGTAACCAGAGAACCTCCGAAGCGAGTGTAGCCAGAGCACGGTATTCACATTCGGTGGATGAACGAGCAACAGACTTTTGCTTTCGAGTAGACCAAGAAACCAGATTGGAACCGCAGAAGACAGCGAACCCAGTGACGGACTTGCGATCTTGAGGACACGATGCCCACGAGGCATCCGAGTAGCCGTGAACATGAAGAGAAGAAGATTTAGAGATTTCCAGCCCACGATCAAGAGTTCCCTTCAGATAGCGGAGGATCCGCTTGACGGCCGACCAGTGATTGTCTGTTGGAGAGTGCTGGAATTGGGAGACATGATTCACAGCGAATGCAATGTCTGGTCGGGTAAAGCTGAGGTACTGTAAACCTCCAACCAGACTGCGATACATGGCGGGGTCCGAGAACAAAGGCGAGGAAGACAGAGCTGATTGCTGAACAATATCGGTTGTGCAAGGTGTGGAGATCGCGTTGGCCTCGGACATATGTGCACGTTCAAGTAAGTCCTGGATAAACTTGCGTTGGCGAAGAAGAATCCCAGTAGCTGTGCGGCATACCTCAATTCCCAGGAAATAGGACAGGGAGCCCAACTCGCGAAGAGCGAAATTATCACGGAGAAAGACAAAGAGCCGCTGAATAAAGGATGAGTCATTACCCGTGATGACGATATCGTCAACATAGACAAGCATATAAACCCTCGTAGGACCAGCTTTGTAGATGAACAGAGAGGGATCAGTCCTGGAAACAGCAAAGCCGAATCGTGTAAGAGCCCCAGCAAGGCAGCTAAACCAAGTTCTTGGCGCTTGACGTAGGCCATAGATGGATTTTCGAAGGCGGCAGACATGATCGGGCTTGTCGGGATCAATGAAACCAGCCGGTTGCTGCATATACACTGTTTCCTGTAACTCACCATGAAGAAAAGCATTAGCAATATCAATTTGATGTAGAGGCCATTCCTGTGTAACCGCAAGCCCGAGAATCAGTCGAAGGGTAGCGGGTTTGAGAACAGGGCTGTAAGTCTGCTGAAAATCCAGACCCGGAATCTGTTCATAGCCACGAGCAACTAAACGAGCTCGGCGACGATCCAGAGAGCCGGTGGGGTGAAGCTTGGTGCGATACACCCATTTATTGGAGAGTATGTTGCAGTTTGGTGGCGGTGGAACCAAATCCCAGGTTCGATTGCGATGCTGGGCAGTGATTTCCTCTTGCATAGCCGAGCGCCAGAGTGGGTTTCTGAGCGCCTGTTTGACCGTCGTGGGCGTATCATCAATGTGGAGGTGAGTAAGAAAGGACTTGGGTTTGAGATTTCCGGTTTTGATTCGGGTTACCATGGGATGATTGGAACTGGTGGGGTGAGTGACGGTGAGGAGACGAGGGGAAGTGGAAAAGGGAGGTCGGGTGGGGATTTCCTTGCGAGGTGGAAGGGGGGTGCGAGGACGAAGGGTTGAATGGTTGTGGGCGGAGGCTGGGTTTGAGATGGGGTTGGTGGGCTGAAGAATGTGGGCCGAGGGGGATGATTGGGTAGGAACAGATGAGGATGGAGAAGGGGGCCTGGGAAGAGGTGAGGAAGGAAGGGGAGGAGGCCCTAAAATGGGCTGGGTATCAGGTGGCGCGGGCCTGGTGGGAGGGGTGACGGGCTGGGTGAATTGGGTAGGGTCCAACTGTTGAGTTGTGGGCCTGGTGGGTTGGATGGGCGGAGGAGGCGGAGGAAGCTGAATGATATTAGGAATGGAGGAAGGCAGAGTCATTGGGTTAGGGCCAGTAGAGGGACTAGGGATGGATACCTCGGAAAATGGAAAGCGCGTCTCATCAAATAAAACATGACGGCTGACATAGATACGTCCAGTAGAAATGTCAAGACAACGGTAACCCTTGTGTAATTTGCTGTACCCAAGAAAGACACAAGGAACAGATCGAGGAGCTAATTTGTTCGGAGTAAGGGGACGAAGCCAGGGATAACAGAGACATCCAAAAACACGAAGATTGGAAAAATCCGGCTCACGATGAAAAAGAAAATGAAACGGCGTGTCATGAGCAAGAAGTGGAGTAGGAGTGCGATTTATGAGATAACAAGCCGTGTCGAAAGCAAGAGGCCAGTATTTCAAGGGAACACGAGCTTGATGGAGAAGAGCAAGACCATTGTTAACAATATGACGATGCTTACGTTCAGCACACCCATTTTGTTCAGGAGTGTAAGGACACGAAGAGCGATGAGCAATACCATTTTGAGAGAGATACGTGGATAATGCCTGATATTCACCACCCCAATCAGATTGAAAGGTTTTGATGGGAAGACCAAAGAATTTTTCAACCAATTGCCGAAATTGAATAAACACATTAAGCAATTGGGACTTATAGCGAATGAAATAAATCCACGAGAATTTGCTATAGTGATCATAAAAAAGAATGTAATATGATTGCTCATCGTAAGACAGAATAGGGGCAGGACCCCATACATCACTACAAACTAGTTCGAGTGGAGCTTGAGCCTGAAATGTAGAAGGAGAAAAGGGTAGCTTATGAATCTTACTAACGGCACAGCCGTGACACAAAGAAGAAGGGGAGGGACTGTATTTTATTTGGTGTTGGGTAAGAACTTGCTTGACCGCACGTGCATGAGCATGTCCAAGACGACGATGCCAAGTGTCAAACGAAGCCACACAAGCGATGGGAGAAAGACGCCGAGAGATATGAAGGGGAAGAGAGTAGAGACCGTCCACCGCAAAGCCACGATGAAGTTCATGCCCCGTGCGTCGGTCCTTGATGAGAAAAAGAGAATCAAAAAATTCAATGGATATTGGATTAGATCGAGTGAGAGAACTAATAGAGAGTAGATTGTATGGAGCACGACGCACATGAAGTATATTATCCAAAGAAAGAGAAACATTGGATAAGGAAATCGTGGAAGAGCCAAAATGAGATATAGGAAGAGAATTACCGTTGCCAAATTTGACATTATCAGTCCCATTGTACTCCGAGTGATGAGCGAGATTGTCTAAATCCGAGGTGAGATGATGATTGGTACCTGAATCAAGGATCCATTGTTGAGGGTCCAACTGTTGAGCGGGTGAGGAAGAAAAAAAGGTGTGTGGGCCAGGGGCAGCAGAGGGAGGGCGAGAATAAAGGGGCTGCTGGGCTTGCTGGGCTATGAAGTTGGGCTGAGCCTGCTGAGCTATAGGGAATGGGCTTGGGCAATGGGATTTCACATGACCTCTACCCCCACAATTAAAACAAACCAGCACATTGGAACTGTTGGGCCGAGGGCCCAGTAACCCACCGGTGGAGCTTGACCTGCTAGGAAAAGAAGAAGCAAAAGAATGGTTAGGAAAAAATCGACCACGGCCGCGTCCTCTTCCTCGACTCCCGCCGCGACCGCGAAATCCACCGGCGCTGGTAAAGAAGGCAGAAGGCGCTGAGGATTCCGACAGGTACGAATAGCGCTTGATCTGAAGTTCCTCACTCAACAACAGGGAGTGAAGATTTTCGAAGCTGATTGGCTCCATCCTTGCTTCAATATGACGCACAAAAGGGCGATAATCTTCACCCAAGCCATCGAGAATCCAAGCTGTGAGATCATCACTTTTGACAGGGGATCCCAGGGCCGCCAATTGATCCGCCTTGGTTTTGGCACTTTGCAGGTAATCATGAATGCTGGCGTTGTGGCGGCGGATGTTTTGGAGCTCCTTGGTGAGCTGCCGAATCTGGATTTGCGATCCAGAGGCGTAGATGGTGGCAAGAGCTGACCACGCATCAAACGCAGTTGTCTTGTTGATGACGTTGGGCAAAACAGATTCCGAGAGGGAAAAATTGATCCAAGTAAGGACGTACTGATCCCTTTGATACCAAGTCCAGTATGCTGGATTGGATTGGCCATCAACAGTTTGCGGCGGCGCCGGAAGAGAACCGTCGACATGCCCCATCAAACAATGACAGCGAAGAAGCGGAGTGATTTGGGCATGCCAGAGTAGGTAGTTGGATGGTGTGAGTTTGACACTGAGTTGGGGATTGGCTGGAAGAGAAATGGCAGAGAGAGTTGACGACATAGGGTTGGCATCGCCTGAGGCAGAAGAGGAAGAAATTGAGGAGGATTCAGTGGCCATGGCTGAAGACCAGAGAGAAGATGAGATAAAAAAAATTGACTCGTTAGAGTTTAGGTAGGCTCTGATACCATGAATGAGCTCAAAGGCTTGAGTTTACTCTTATTGACTTCTCTGTTTATATAGTACAGTTGAGCAGAGTGTACAGCGGAGGAGAAGCAACAGAAAGAGTGAAAGGAGGAGAGAATAATGGAGTACAACGTTCCACAAAGTAACAACTAACAAGAAGGCAACAGTAAGCCTAAAGTACAGGAACAGATCAACAGATCACATTATCAGGGATACCCTGGAGAAACTCCTGATTCTCGTCCCTGTAGAAAAGCTTGTCGTAATCGCCGTATTCGTAGGAGAGGAAGAGATGGAGAATCGGCGGCGGCAGAGGCAGGACGGATTGGGTGAAATTGTTGTTGTCACGAAGCAGGGTACCGAAGCTATGAGCTTCCCGAAATTGGGGGCTGTAGAATTGGTTTCTGAAGGGGAAGCCGTCAGGTAATAACCAGGTGGAATTCTGAAGTGGTTCGCAGAAGATATCGGCCATGTCCGGGCCAAAATCGACTAGCAGGACTCGATCGGTGAGCAGAGCGTAGAGGAAAGCAGAGGAAATGCCGAGCATTCTGTTCCCCAACCCATTTACGTGCAGCGTAAAGACGACGTATCTGCAATCGGATTCAGTTGAGTTGGTGGTTGAGTTTCCGGTGAGTAGTTTCAATGTTGTGTTGAAGGGTTCGGAGAAAGGCTCGCAGTTCTTGTGGCGGCGTTTGTAGTCGCGGAGCTTGGAGAGCAGGTATGGAGATGGAACAGGGGATGGGGATTTTTTCTGGTATGAGGCTTTCTGGGTTCTACTGATGCAAGATTGGTCTTGTGGGGGTTGTTGTTCAGGGGGAGAGTTCTTGAGAATTGGGGAGAAGAATTGCTGGGCGAGATCGGAGAATGGGTTGGGGAAGATGATGGAGGTGATGAGTAAGATGGATATGGCTGAGAAAGCGGCGATGGCCATGGCTGTGAACTTGTGGGAGGTGAGTTCCGGTGATCTCCCCATTTTTTTTTTTTTTTTTTGATGAGGTTGGAATTGAAATTTTCTTGAGTCGGCTCTGTTTTTGTTTCCCCTAACATGGGTTGATTGAGATACGTTGGGTAGATATATGTTTTCAGAATTACTGGTGGAGTTGTCAAATTGTTTTAGGCTGGTAATTAATTTATTACTTTATGTACGAAGAAGAGGAAAGGGAATTTAAGGGGGGAAATATGGCAGTAAGATCAATATTCTTTCTTTTGTAATTATCATTATTTGTCTTTAATGGACATTGTCATCAATTGTTTTGTTCGTACTTGATAAAGGTGCCAAGTATGGCAGCGGATGGTTGGTTAGTATAATCGTGTGTTTGTAAAATCGTACCATATTGGCGGTCCAATCGGTAAAATCTGTCATCAGAGGCGAAATTGGTAAACAATTTTTAGCATTATGAAGTGGTTGAATTACGATTAATCTACGATTTCAGTATAAGATACCTTACCGCTGAATTTTTCAGTGTGACTCGATTAATACGGCTTTTCAAGCCTTGGTATAATATATAACCTTTTCCTCAATTAAATTTAGCGTGTTATATTTCTTTATAAGTCCAAATTCAAAACTTTTTGCATGGAAAATTAGAAAATCGTGCTTTTCAAAATGACATATATTTTGATATATATTGGAACAAAAAAAATTGACATATATTACCAGTGTATACCACTGTGGTAAAGCTTTTTTTTTTATGAAGGTGATGAACTTTATTGAAAACGAAACCTAACAAGCAGTGAGAGTCAGCAGAAAATACAAAGAAAAATGGAAAAGCCCTGAAGAAAGGGCAACGAAATGTCCAAAACAACAGTCTCAAGCTGCACCAGAGACAAAAACTGAACATGGAAAGTCAACAATAAACGAGCACAACACAGCAAAAAACGGGAAAATAGATCAACCAAGGAGACCAAAGCGCCCAGGAAGATCAGAGGGTTAAGCAGATCTTGAAAACTCCTCCTTGCTTGCTGTAGACCACTTTTTAAACCATTGAAGAGCTCTTCCTTTATCAACTTTTCCATGGGCAATGATCCAATGAAGGATGTTGCGCATGATTTTCTGTGAAACAGCAAAGGAAGAGCAGTACTCCATATTAAATATCCTCTGATTTCTCTCTTTCCATATTAACCAACACGTGCCGTGGATAACGCATTTCTGAAAATCTCTGTTAACGTCATCTGATTCATCTCGAGGCCCGTCGTTGATCATCGAAGCAATATCTCCAACTGGGGGTCTGAAGTTGTTAACCACTGTGGTAAAGCTTGGTTGTAAATAAGATTATACCATGATGATTTGAGTAACTATAATTTAGAATGTGTGTATACATAATAGTAAGGATATACTAATCACTAGTGACCACATTTCACCATCGTCTACCACCATATACATGGAGGTATATATGGTCTTAAATTCCCCACCCCATAAATTTGTAGATAACTATGAACCCGTTCCTTATATAATTTTTACAGAATTTGAGTTAAAAGCGAAGGTGGTACAGAGTGGTATTGGGTTGTACGAAATTGTTTTCTCGAAATATATAAAAAATGGTTATAATTTAACTCATGGATTCATGATTTGGAACTGGAGGAGCATAAATCTACAGGGGCTTGGTTCACGTGGTTAAACAAGCAGAAGCGCAAACCTATAGCAAGGAGGTTTGATAGGAGTTTTGTAAACCTTGCATGGTTGGATAATATGCCGAACAGTAGGGTGAACTTGGTTAATCCTAATATGTCAGATCATTGTTCTATCTTGGTACAATCCTCTGAAGAGATGAAGTCTCTCCAAAATCGTTTAAGTTTTTCAAAATTTGGATTTCACATTCGAAATATGAGGAACACCTTCAGAAGGCTTGGGATACAAGGGTCGTTGGTTCTCCCATTATTATGTTTTATAAGAAGCTTTGCATAGCATTCTCAAGGGATTCCTTAAAAAGCTAAACAAGGAAGAGTTCTCAGAGATAAGGGAAAGAGTTAGGGAAGCTGAAGGGAGGTTGGGACTGGCTCAGCGTGCTGCGTTGGCAAGTCCTTCTCTGGAGACTTTTGAGGTGGAGCAGATGGCTCTAAAAGAGGTTCATGTGATGATGCAGGATGAGGAGTCATTTTTGCGGCAGAAGTCTCGAGAGGTATGGCTTAAGTGTGGGGAATCCAATTCTAATTATTTCCATCGCTATGTGAGAGTGTGGACAAAGCAAAATACAATAAGTTCTTTGGTTAATGAGGATGGGAGGAAAGTGACAGAGTTAGAAGACTTATGTGAGGTAGCAGTTTCTTTCTATAAGAAGTTGCTAGGTGCATATGATCCTAGTGTTTGTTCTACTTTTCTTGAATTCTATGGGAGGCTGTTGAAGAGAAAATTACCACTTGATATGCGTGATGGCCCTTTATTCCCCAGTCTCGAGTGAGGAAATTCGAAGGGTAGTGTTTGGTATGAAGGGGGATAAAGCCCCTGGGCCTGATGGTTTTTCAGCGTGCTTCTTTCAGTCTTCTTCGCAAGTTATTGGAGCTGATCTTGTACGTGCGGTGCAATATTGTTTTGATGAATGTCGGTTGCCAAGGGAGGTAAATGCTACTGCTCTTACTCTTGTTCCAAAGGTTCAGAATCTTGAGTTGATGAAGGATTTTCGTCCCATATCTTGTTGCAACATTGTCTATAAAAACATATCCAAGATCCTTGCTACTAGACTTAGTATCACCTTGCCAAGTCTCATTATTCATAATCAAATTGCATTTATTAAAGGTAGAGTTATAGGGGATAACATTCTGATGGTTCATGAACCGTTTGCAAAATATTCTTTCAAGAATGTGTCTCCTCGTAGCACTTTGAAAATTGACCTTGCAAAGGCCTTTGATTCTGTGGATTGGGGTTTTATTCTGACTGTATTAACTGCTATGGAGTTCCCGGGGCTCTTTATTGAATGGATTAAGATGTGCATTACCACTCCGATGGTTGCAGGAAAGCTTACTGTTAATGCTTGTAGACCCCTGGTTGATAAAATTGTCTCTTGGATTATTAACTGGAAAGCAAAAGCTCTTAGCTATGCTGGTCATGTGGAGTTGGTGTCCTCTGTTTTATAAAGTTTAACTCAGTATTGGATGTCGGTTTTTCTGCTCACAAAATCGGTTATTGGTTAAGTGGAGCGGTTGTGTAGCAACTTTCTTTGGGGTGTTGGTATCGGTGGCAAAGTTAGAGCTTATGTTGCTTGGAATCAGTTGACTTTCCCCAAATCTGAGGGGGAGGGGGGTTGGGCAATAGGGACTTGTATGCTTGGAATGTTGGCTGTTTTACTCGGCATATCTGGGCTATTCTCATGCAGCATGGGTCTTTATGGATTGCTTGGCTTTAGAAGTATAAGCTCAAGCTTCTTTCTCTCTGGCAGTTCTTTGGAGCCTCTGGTTCTTGGTGCTGGCGGCGTTTGCTGAAGCTTAGAGAAATGATACAGTCGTTCTTCTCGATTAGGGGGGATGAGGTGCTTTGTTTTGGGGAAGTAATGACGAAGCATTCAGTTCAGAAGGTTTGGAACACCATAAGACCCCATCTACCAAAGGTATCATGGGCTCCTTTGGTGTGGAAGGGACCTTGAATACCTCGTAACAGGTTTCTCTTGTGGTTGCTTTTGAAGGAGCGTATTCATACGCGTGTGCAAATGACTTCGTGGGGTTATGATGGTCCTTTGAATTGTGTATTTTTTTTTGACCAGGATGCTTAGTCAATAGACAATTGTTTGCTGATTGTATGGTTTACCAGGACCTTTATCTGCAGCTGCTGGGACTTATGTTTCCTCGTCAGTGGTGCTCTACTTGGAGGCAAGAGGTTGGTTGTGCGGAGATGATGTTTTCCAAGCCCTCTCCTCTTACTGATGCTGTTCGTTTTACTTAGAGCTCAATTCTTAGCCATCTGTGGAGAGAGCGTTGCCGACGAATTTATGCAGGTGAGAAGATGGACATTGTAGTCTTGTGCAAGGTGATTAGATGTGAGGTTAAGGGTGTGATTGATACTCATTTGCTTGGTTGGTATTGGTAGGCTTGCTTTGTCTGTTTCGGGGATAGTTTTTCCCAATTAGACTACCATGTATAGATCCTAGTTGGCAAGGGTTGTCGTCAACAATCCTTTTTTTCATGATATAACATAAACCGATGCATAAAAAAACTCATTTTATCTGTGCATTTTTAAACTCGCACTTTAAATATGGCCCACTCAAATTAAAGGACCGGATCGGGTTATGCACAAATGTATAACCAAGACTTATTCACCCTACCCTAAACCGCCAAGGATATGTAGTCCGATGAGGCCTCTTTGAATTATTATTTAATTAATGAACTTATTTTTTATTGTTAATTATCAAACATCTACAAAATACTATAAGGCAATGTCAAAAAATAGGTTTTGCCACATCAGCCTTTGCTGAAATCTCCGCATAGTGCGGAAGGCTTTAATAGTAAATTTCGTATCCATCCTTTTCTAACTTTCTGCCTTCCAATCTCCTATCGCATGGCGAACATCTCTCGCCGCACGCTTCGGAGAGGCTTCCCCATCTTCCGCAATTCTTCTCTTCCTCTCTTTCTGTCTTATTATCGCTCATCTTATTTTTAATTACTTTTATAATATTTTGTTCTTGATGAGTGCATGAAAGAGGAGAGGGATCACGATTACCTCTCTTAAATCCCTAATGTCGCAGATCAATTCGTTTGCCTAGGAGAAGTTGAACCCAGACTGTATCCCCTCTCAATGAATTTCTCTGCTCATCTTCCCTTTCCTCTGCTTCAGTTCGCGTCGCTGCCCTTCCACACAGCGAAGACGACGACTGCCAAATGGGCTAAAAGCCCACTAATTTCTTTTCCCGTCTTTTCTGTTTCTTTTCACTTTGGGCTCTCAACTAAAATCAATTTGCGGCCCACTCACCTTTTCTCCCGCCTTATTCACTTGACCGCTTCTATTCTTTCTCTTTGACTGACAAAACACCAGTTGTATAGTTTGTCTGGACTATGATAACAAAAAAAGGCATATAAACAAGCAAAATGCTGAGGGGATGGGAAGATTTCAATTTTACCCTAACGTTTCTCGAAATACATTTATAATTCGTTAGCTTTCTATACGTTTTTTATTTATTTATCCCTTTCTATTTTGGTAATGTTTCTATTTTCTAATGTATATTGGTAACGACTAATGATTATCCCTTTTTATTGATGCTTGCGTGACTTTTTTTTATTATTATCTCAAAATTGTATGTTTGTTATCTGAATCCTTCTCAACTTAATCAGTACTTAGCTTTCCATTATAATTTATTATCCAAGATTAATACTTTTTGGTTTATATATTACGATTATAATGTACAAATAGTGTAAATTAGTATCTCAGTTTTTATTTTGTGACACTAATAACAGTCTTCAATACTAATCTCACAATCGAAATAGTTAGATTTGTTGATTTAACATTTTCAGGGATTATTATTATCAAGCAACTTGATCAGGTATGAATTAAATGATATATGATAGAGAAGTTCAGTGTGGACTTGGTTAAGCCACATATTGATCCTACCTTAGGGTTATGATTGTTCCTTTGAGTTTGAGAAACATGATATTATCTATTTTTATTTTATATTCAATGTTGTTTATGTTTCATAGTCTCTAGGTATTATGCATTGGAAGAAGGATTGGTTTTCCTAATTTGAGCCATAGATAAGAATACGATGATCTTATGGAAGCAGACAAGGATCATTTGTCAAAATAGTGATCTTTAATATTTTTTTGAGTTGGATTGACCAGTTAAATCCGTATCTTATACTTTGATTAAATTAATTAATTAGTTACAGATAAGTTTATTAAATAGACCTCATTGCTCATGACAATTGATAATAGTCATCTTATTCAAGACTCATACTTAGACGACTATAGTAACTGAAGTTATTAAAGGTATCATAACCAGCACGACAATGAACTTACATGGTAGTCACTATTAGGAAATTCAAGTATTTATGATAAAAGAGTCATATGGGTTAGACACATAAGCCTCCATGAAACTAATCATATCATTGAACCTCTTCGAATTCTTCGCTTCACACACAACTCACAACACTAGCCTTTTGCGCCACTCATCTACCTGCATACGAGAATTAGAGGTTGACTACAGTGGCTTTGAGATATACAGTCCCATGAAAAGGGTCAAAGTTGGATTATTTTTTATGCCCTGTCGCAATTCAATCTCCATCAAAAAATTTACTCGGGATTTTGGATGAAACCCCAATTTCCCTCGAGCAATGGAAAAAAGAATATCGAGAATGTTTACTTAAACTTTTTCCCTTCTCCATATACTAAGCAAAACAAGCCATCACATATAGTCATTTCCTCTGTCGAGAACTTCAATGAAATAAAAACCAGAATGGGACGAAAAACGAGTACAAAATTTTAAACACCAAGACAAAACTCCCCCGGCCAATAGGCCGGGCCCTATGCTAGTTATACTATTATAGTAGAGCTTGCTTCGTTGGCTTTCTTAAAGTTTCAAGTTACAGTGATGGGAGTAGGGATCTAAGTAGCTAGGGATAGGGGAAGCCGACAATGGCTTTAAATAACTGGTCGCCGCCGCATTGGGACCGGTTGTGGGAGGAAGGAAGATCATTTGGGAGAGTAAGGGTTGGGAGGGTGGTTGAGGTGAGTTTAAGGAGAGAGGATGATCAGATCAAGGCTGACATTTGGCGACCCTTATCTATAAAAAAAATGTGACCAAATTGTTTTTCCCAGAAATCTAATAAAATATAAACCAAGCACCAATCTATAAATAAAATTCTTTATCCTATATAAAAATAATATCTACCTAATATGGTTTGAAATAAAGAGTGACAATGGTTTAAATAAAAATATTTAATTAAAAGATTGATTTTTATTTTGTAAATGGTGACCTCATTTATTTAATTAAGAGTAAGTAAAGCAAAAAACCGTAAGTAGATACTACTGTCAGTAAATATTCTTTCACGTTCGGGATAATCATATAGGGGCAATTCTGGTGGAGATAGTCAATTTATTTGCTTCAAATGTAGGTTTCACTGTTCGATTTGTAGGTCGGCGAAATAATAGGGTAGCTCATTTGGTAGCTAGACAGGCCCTGTCCTTGTTCCCGACTACTTGTCGCTTGTTTGATTTTCGGGCCTGGCTGTATTCCGGGATGTAATGATCTATTGGTTTTAATCTAATGATTATCTTTTGTCAAAAAAAAAAAGTCAGTAAATATTCTTTCAACAAGAAGGAGACAAGACTGAGATCGACCAGTCAGGAAACACCATCAGAATCGATATTGATGAACCTTTCCTTCATCGATATGAGTCTCCATCTCAAAGTTGCAAGCCAACTCTCAGCAATTTCGGGATCCACTTTCTTTGAGGTGATTAACTAGCTCGATACCACTCTCCCAATGTTATAGCACACAATCGAAGGGGGTTGAGTCTTTTTGACGAAAATCCTTGTGTTCCTATCCAACCAAATACGCCAGCAAAATGCATGAAGGAGCAATATGCTGCACCGATCTTCAACTTATTGGGATTTTTCCAAGACCATGTTCTGATTCTTTTTTTTATATATCTGGACTGTTGTTCTATACAAAGACAAAATTCCCAATGATTTTCTTTGGAGAAACTGCAGGTGATGAACAAGTGGTTAATGTCTTATTCGTCAGCATACCACGCATTTGCTGGGGAATGTACATCCCCTCTCTTTTGCGGCAGCAAGAGGAGAGGCCCCAAGAGGAAGACCCAAATAACTGACTGGAGGTACCCCCAATCACACCCAAAACTATCAGCTAATATGTCCGGGTTTGGGATGTCCCCAACGGGGAATAACTTACTCTTCTCCAGGTTGACCTTAAGACCAGTGACACTTTGGAAGCATACAATTTTTGCGCACATTATTGACTTCAACTTCCGTAGAGTCACAGAAGATAATAGCATCATCCGCGTACAACAGATGTGTGACTTCTTCGCGCCTTTCAGCTTCATCGATAGAGAAACCGGTAATGAAATCAACCTCCTTAATTCTGAGAAGGGTAAAAGATAGCACATCCATGACAAGGTTGAAGAGGAAATGAGAGAGTGGATCTCCCTATTTGAGACGCACGTTGCATATCAAAGAATCAATCAGCCTCACCATTGAAGAGTGTTGAAAGCTTGGACGAGGCAACAATTCATTTTATCCAATTCCACAAATTTTTGTCAACTCACATAGATTCCAAAATTTTAAACAAACAGCCCCAACTAGATGAGTCGAATGCTTTCTCGATGTAAAGCTTGAAAAAGATCCCTGGTTTGCCACTCCTACGTCTGCTATCGATGAGTTCTTTGGCAATCAGCTAATTAACTATACTCACTTGAATAGGTTATGAGAATTAATTGAGCAGAAGATGAATTTTTTTGAGAAGAATCAAATAGTATAAACAAATAATAGAGTATACTAAATTAGATAGGAGAAACTTATACTTTTGTTAGTCTAAAGTTAAGTATGCACACCACAAAAATAAGGAGATTAGGGGACCAATATTAGGGGACAATTCCCTGATATTGTCTCCGCAAATACAATTCTAAGTAGTATTAGGGACCCGCGTATAAATTGTCTCCATAAAATAAGGAATGTGATATTTATTAATTTTTAATTTTATTCTTTTTTTTTGCCTTACAGGAGGCGCGAGGCCACAGAAAAGAGACAGGGGGGGCGAGATCAGATAGGGGGGGGTAAGAGGAGAAGTTACAATGTTTCTAGGAAAAGTAATTCCACGCTGATCATCCTGTAAAATGTGAAGCGCCTCTGGCGGCGGATCCTCCAATTCATACATACCGTAGGGATAGACGAGACTGTGCTTAGAGAGCCAGTCCGCGACTCTATTCCCTTCGCGGTACGTATGAACTAGATTCACTACCCAGTCCAGAGAAATCTTCCTCCTGATGGCCGAAAGAAGAGCCGCATAAGGGTGCAGAGGATCTGTCCTGTTCTTTACCAGCTGAATGGCCAACTGAGAATCAGACTCAATGATGATGGTCCTATAGCCTTTATTCCACGCTACCCTCAAACCATGATAGATAGCCCACAGCTCGGCCATGGTAGCCGAGCACGAACCCAAGCTAGTAACAAAGCCACCTTGCCAGCACCTGTTAGAGTCCCGGATTACTCCTCCAGCAGCAAAAGGGAGACGAGAGGAGGAAAGAAGAAAAATCAGCAGCAGCACTCGAGGCTCTAATTCGCCGGTGCCGACGCCGCCTCTGCCCCCATCTCCTTCTGGGCAATCTTCTCGGCTGGAGACAAGGTGGCTCCCTCAGTATGCCCCTCCTTCGCCGCTCCCGTCTAAGCTTCAATCTCCTGAAGGGTCAGGTTCGCCATTTTAGCTCTTGCTTTGGATTTCCTTTCTTTGACAGGAGTCCAAATCTGGAGAGCTTTGGTCGCGATCTTCATTGGTGATTGGCGTTCCTTGGACTTCTTCTTCCTCCGGTCGCCCTTCGTTCGAGTCGCCGTCGATGGAGTGCTGATGGTCGCATCCATTTCCCTCTGCTGCTCGATAGAAGGGACGTCCACAATCTGAATAGCGGTGGTCCCCGGCCCGGTTGTCTTCTGGGTTTTGGTCCAAACCGATGGGGTTGGAGCTTTCCTAGCTTCTTGTTTGTTCCCACCAGGTCCAACATTCTTCTGGTTAAGCCCACCTTGCCCGGATGACGGGCCGGCCTCAGAGAGATTATGGGGGGCTGCTCCTTCTCTGGATCCCATGAGTGGGCTTTTTTTATTAAGAGGGATGGGCCCAAGCACACCTTTCCCCCCTGTGGCCGACCCAACCACTTCCTTTCCTCCTTTTTCCTTCCCGTTGCGGAAGCTGTCTCCAGCTGCTTTCCCCTTTTCCTTCGCCCCAATCCTGCCCGCCTCCTTCCTCTGATTCGCTTCCCTTTTTTGATCATACACGCCTTCTTTTTCTTTCTGTCCAGACCTTCCATTCCCATCCCTGCCGTTGTTGGCAGATTCCCCTGGAAATTCGCTGGTCTTTCCATTTTCCACCGGGCGTGTTCCCCTCCGTGATCTCCGTGTAACCTGCATCCACGGCCCGAAGCCTGAACGGTCCTCCGGCGATGCCGCCGTCGCGTTTCCCTGAACAGTGATCATCTCTCCGGCGGTCGGCGGTGGATTTTTCGCCGCCAACATGGGACATGTCACTGACGTGTGGCCGATTTTTCCACACTCGAAACAACATGTAGGGAGGTTCTCGTACTCGATATATTGCCATTTCCCGTCCAGCCTGATCCGCGTAACCAACGGCTTAGAGAGATCAAGCTCCACAGCCATCCGGGCAAATTTCGCTCTCTGTTGGTGTTGGGTGTGAAAGTCTAGTTTTATTGCCCTGCCCACCATATTCCCAAGTTTGAAAAGGATCTCCTTGTGATAGAAGTGCACCGGGAATGCAGGGAATTGTATCCACACCACCATCGATCTTGGTAGAGCATCCGACAGTCGAAACTCCGGTGTCCACTGGAAAACTATTAAGTAATGGTCGAAGATCACCCAAGGGCCTTCTGTGAGAGCTCGAAAATAATCCGCATCATTGCTAAGCTTGATCAGAAAGCACTCCTTCCCAAGTGCCATGACCTCCATCGCCCCTGTCGGCCGCCATAAATTCCTGATCTTGTTGCTGAAGGTCAGGAAGGAAATATTCAAGCCCAACACTCTGACCACTAGGGTACGCTGCCAGGCGACACACAGTTTCTCCTTGAAGCCATTTGAGATCTTCAACTCTGGTTCTCCGTTGAAACTTCCCGTTATCAAATCGTGTTCTCCGACTGGCGTCCACATATCCTTTTTTTGAGGGGTTTCATTGCTAGCCCCGACCACCACGTTGGCATATGATAGCGCCATGCCAGCTGCCGACCGGGACGAGCTATCTTTCAGAGGAATCGATTCCACTCCCATCTCCGTATCGCTCGAAGAAGGGGTGAGCTCTTGAAGATTACAGCAGGGGGTGTTAACCATCCCCATCTCGTTAATTCCCGCCGAGGGTTGATTGGTGTCCGGCGGTCTACCTGACGGAGTCAGATCGGTCGCCGGCAGAGCCTCGAGAGAATTCAGAGCATCCATATTCATTGGTATAAATTGTCTCCATAAAATAAGGAATGTGATATTTATTAATTTTTAATTTTATTCAGTGGCCCCCAAAACAAATCTTATCCGACCGTAACTAATAAGTCAGGAAGATTGATCTTTGAATTAATCATTGATATCCTAGCAATTCTTCATTTTAATTTCCCCCCTTTCACATAGTAATTCATGAGCTGATATGGAGGTTGATATCTTTTCCTTTATCGTTCCCAATTACTAGCAATTTTATAATTTGTATTATTATTTTCCTTTTAATATTTAGATTTGCTATGTAGATTATACATAAACGCAATTAAGTTGGAAATGTAGTAAGTTGAATGCCTTTCTTTTACTAAGAGATTAAGGATAATTATACTCAGACTACGAGCACACTAAATTGTTGTCACTATAAGTTGCACAGTTGATTCATAATCCCTAATGATACCCCTTAATGAGTAACTAGCCTAGCTACAAGTTTTGTATGTGACAATTAGTCAACATGAAGACACAATTTAAGAGACAACTGGTCGTCCTTACAAGTAAAATAAGTGACGTCAAGATGTCTCCAAAAACACGAGATAAAGGACAATTAGTCGTACTTGCAAATAATATAGGGAACAATTAATAATCATCCTCGAGGATATAAGTTTAGAGAGAATATTAGTTCGTACAAGTTATATAGAAGACAATTAGTAGTCCTTAGAAACACATGATAAGGGACAACTTATTGTCCCTTCAAGTTACGTAGGAGACAATTTATCATCTCTAACAAAATTATTAGAATTATTAAATTGCAAGTATCCAAAAATTCGGAACACTGTTCATTAAGAAAAAATCGGGATTACTGTTCACTAGAGGGTTTTTGATTGTCTATAAACAAGTTTAGTTAAGCCCGAAATAGGCCACTTTGGGCTAGCCAAGAGAAACGACTAGTTAGAATTATTAAATTGCAAGTATCCAAAAATTCGGAACACTGTTCTTTAAGAAAAAATCGGGATTACTGTTCACTAGAGGGTTTTTGATTGTCTATAAACAAGTTTAGTTAAGCCCGAAATAGGCCACTTTGGGCTAGCCAAGAGAAACGACTAGGACCACAAAAATAGTCACATCTCCTCTCCTCTCTCCTGTTCTCTCTTCCCATCCTTCTAATCTACGTCAAATCAAAACACATATAAACTTACCCCACCAGGCCACCCTTTCTCATCTCATCTCCTCTCTCCTTTACTCCCTTCACTCTTCTCTTTTAAAAATCAAAATATGTAGCAGTAAACAAAAAACGATGAAGTAACCAATGAAAACAAGAAAAGTGAAGCAACCACAAGTAGAGAAATATATTTTTTGGCCAACGGCTAGGGTTCATAAATTACGTTAATGTTGTGTATGGTTAGTATTTTAGGTAATATTTTAATCTTAATTGATATTTTTCTTATTTTGATTTTATCATTTGACCATACTATAATACTATTTTATAAAAGTTACGTAATGACAAATATATATTATATAAAGCTCCAAAATTCACCATAAGCTCTTTATTATTTGCATACACTAAGGGGTTGTCTGGAAGTTGTGATTTCAAATGTTGTATTCAGCTAATTCATATATTTGAGAGATTTGGTCATTTTTTTTGCTTATATTGAGTTAGAATACATGAATTAACTTTTGGGCTCCAACCACAATCACTCAAAACTGAGGGATTATCAATCTAGACAAAAAGTAGAGATTCTTCACAATCACTGAAAATTAATTTATTGGTTTTACAACAAAAACACAATCTAAACTTCCATACAAGGTATTTTCCTGATAAAAAAAGTTTGGGTAATAGTACACTATGACAATTACACAAATACATATACATTATATAAAAATGACAATTACACAAATACATATACATTATATAAAACCCATGGAGGGTAATCATTTCTTATGTATCACTTAAAACTTATTTTGTAGCTATTTCGTAACTATTCGGTAATATAAGTTTGAATGAATTTTTTTTACTATTAACTAAATTGTTGACAGCTCATCAATTTGCATTACATGAATGTTTGTAAGGTAAGTTATTATTTTACATTACAATTTAATCATGAGACATTATAAAAAGCTTATAGAGAGATATCTATTTTTTATATATCACTTAAAATATGTATAACATATGTCTTTCGTAATGATAAAGACTACGAAAACTTAGGGATATAATTTACCCAATAATTTGTATATTATTTGATTTCAAGTGAATTAATTTTAAAATATAATTGATTTGTTACCGCTGCAAAGCGCGGGCCAAAAAACTAGTAGGTTATTAAAGGACCACTGGTCCTCGATAAATGTTATATATGTGACAATTTATCCTTCACGAAGCCACAACTTAATGAACACTTGGCCGTCCCTAAAAGTTACATAGGTGAGAACTTGTCCTCTCGAAAAATAAAGTACAAGGGACAACTTCTTGTTCTTAAATAAATTTTTTAGAGACATCTATTGGTTCCAATTGAACACCTATTGGAACAATATGTTGTCCTCACAAAAACAAAATTAGTTAATATATATTTTCCACAATACTATCATGACTACAGAAGACAATATTTGTACTTTACAAGTGAAACTATAAGTCATTCTTTTATATTAGAAAGGATTTAATTCATAATGTTTTTATCAAAGCCTGCTAACTAACTCTTAGTAAATATTAAAATAGTTGCTCTTAAATTCTCAATTGTATTAAAATACATAGTTATTAAATATTAAAATACTTGGCTCTCTAGAATTCAACTTAATCTCAGCCGGTCATTTCAATAAGTTTTAATCTCAAACGTCCATTTAACTTTAAGTAACGATAGAAACCCTAGCTACATTCCAGTCTTCTCCCTCTTTTGGCCGAATGGTCTATATCCTTCCTTCTATCGGCCGATCGGCTCTCCGCCTCTCCGTCTTCTTCTCTTTTCCGTTGGGCGCCGACTCTTCTCTGCCTTTGTTCACCAGCGCTTTGCTCTCCTAGTCATTAGTGTCCACTCGATGGTAGGACTCATCGTAGTTCCTTTTTTTCTTGGTTTTCAGTCTTTGTTTCACTATTAGCTTTGGATCTATATATATTCTTCAATATTGATCTTTTGTTTTCTTCCAGCATCGACAACGATGATGAAGCCAATGGCGACATCGCCGAGGCTTCTTCGATCATGTTCTATGGAAGAGGTATGTGTGGCGGCTATCCATGTTGACAGTGTTTATGCAAGTCATGCAAGAAAAATCAGATTTAGAGGCTACGGATATTTGCCTCCATAAGCCATGTATGTGCCACTAAAGTCTTTTCGAGTCAAATAATTATGTGTTGCGGATGCTGCTGCCGGGAATTAGGTTTAGCGGCAGAATATAGCGGCAAATATATGTACGCCGCAAATAGGGGTTTTAAAGGTGGATAAATCTGCCTCCAAAAGTAATATATATGTGCGGTTGTACCATCTTAATATGGCATATAAATCAGTCGTTGATTGTGGGATTTAGGGACAAATTATTTGCTAGTATAAATCATTTCTCCCACTATTATATTTGTCGTTGATTAGCATAGTTGCAGGCAAATCAATAGCCTCTAATAGTTTTTTTTATTAGCCTCTAGATACCATTAATTGCATCCAATTTTCGTGCTCACAATTTACATAAAATAGTAAATCTAGATTTCAATGTAACTATAAAATTTGAGAAAAAGAAATAAACATAGATTTTTTATTCACGTCGGTATATGAACAAGTAACAATAGCACCAATACAACGGAATTATCGATGCAATAAAATGCTCAATTTGTACATGAGAACTAACATAAGCTATTCACATAATAGAGTTCACGATTGTAGGAGGCTTGTTAAGTACTATCAACTTGCCTTCTGTTTACAAATGAGTGAAAGCCACTGATCCTCCTGCCAAATTTCTGAAGTAAACCTGGATTCCATGTCACCAACATTGAACAATTATGCTTTAGTGATTTATCTGCAATTTGAAAAATATATCAAACTCTTTTAGTGAAACATCTAAGGTAGTTGCATTCCACTTATGAACAAGTTATCTGACACATAAGTAGATGAGAGAGCTAAATATGACAAATATAGACGAGAGGACATATTAGTTTACGTGATCAATAGTCATAACTTATCAGCAACAAAAAGCCAGTTGAGCTAAATTGAGGAACTAGTAAGAAACAAAGGTTCACATCAGGACATTAAGGTCACAGGACTTTGTTGTTGTAGAATATGCTTAATCTTGATACTTGAAATAACGGGTGCTTGAGAATCAAAGCTTTAATCTGGAAGCATACCATGTAAACATTAGAATGATGCCATCGACCACGCCTTAGACCACGCGCTTAGAAC